TGATAGATGTTCGCATGCATCATGCTTTTGTAACTTAATAAGGTTACTAAAATAAGGTTATCTGTGGCTTCATATATAAATACAGCGAATACATTTTAGTTGGCAAAGGTTTCATTTCTCAAATTACCCCTTTAATGGGAAATATTCACACTAAATTACTGTGCTGACACATAAAGTGGACAAATACCCGATTTGATAATAGAATGGCAAATTAAAATCTGTGCAAGGCAAAGAACACAGGGCAGCAGTCCCATGAGAACCTGACCGCACCGCCTGATTAAGTGCTTATGGGGCGGGTTTGGTAAGGGGCCCTTTCCTGATCTGATAACTGCCACGGAGAAGCCAAAGACAGAGTCAATCTGCAAATACTTAATCCTCCAGAAGGCAGATTAAGTGTATAATTGACCTATATAATCCATGTATCATCTCCAGTCAAATGTTCCCTGGGCCCGGTTCACAACGACTCGGGGTCTGAGGAACGCCAGTGCGGATTGGGCATTACCACCAACGTGGATTCCATCCAAGTTCGAGATGGTTTTTTAATCACTCATCTCCGAGCCTGTGAGGTTTAAGCAGATGAATTCACCCTAAGCACATCTCTTTTAATCCCGATTTTCTTCTCAGTCTGTGTCTTCAAGAAGTACAAGGAAGAAAGAAAATAAATTAATTTTTGTTTAGACCTTGAAATCTTAGGTGCTTCTCTTGATGATCTGATCTCTAATTTCAAAAAGCATGTTTTTGTTTTGGGGAAGATACTGAATTAATCACCAGAGAAGGGGCGGGGGGAGCCATCTGCATGATTTATGGACACTCAAGCTTTAAATCTCTGTCTTCAAGCTATTTCTTGGGTTTGTGCTTTCCTCCTCAGCAGCTGCTTTAGGAATAGGGAGATTATTTCATGTCTAGATTTTGTATTTGCTTTAAAAGTCAGCAATAATTTTCCAGGAGGCTAAGCTTCCACCTGAGTCTGACAGCAACCTGATTCTCCTTTAAAAATTCGGCATCTTTAATATCATTTAAATTCATGGTTACTGTACATATTGCATTATTCCCTTGCTTTAAATCTCCAAATCTTTTGTTTTGAGATATCTTAAGCTGTTATTTTGCAGCAACTGAAATCGGTTTATAATGGTAGGTCATATTTTTAGAAAAAAATTTATAAAAATGCAGATGAAATGTACAGCTGTATATTTGAAATACCAGGGGAGGCAGTTGGAGAATTCTTTTCCAATCAGCCCTTAATTTTGGACCAGTTAGCTGTTTCTTAGGTGCATGACTAAAAAAGTTGATAGTATTTTACAGAGGGACAGTGTAAATCAATTATTAATACACAGGGAAACTTTCACTTCATCAGAAAGACCTGGTTAGGCAACCTTCTGTCTGAATGTCTTGCTTCAATAAACCTAGAGAATGCCTGTTTAAAAAAAAAGTTGGTGAAGATGAATTTGGAAAGCTGCTCTTAAGTTACATAATAAAATAGATAAAAATGCAGAACATTAAATATAGAGCCCCAAATGCTATGCCGATAATCTCCCACAAGCACCCAATTCCAGCCAAAAGTACAATGACAAGGCAGAGAGAAAGCTAGATCAGAGGGAGCCGCAGGAGAGGGGCCTGGTGAGAACAGACGATGCACTCATTAAATGACCAGCTATTAGTCCAAATATTCTCAGATACAAACGCACACTGATGCCATCCAGCCTTTTCTACAAGGCACACTCGAAAGGCAAA